TCATATTTATAATCGTGATGGTTATGATTGTTTTCAGTTGTTTTGTCCTTTGGGTTTAGCCATTGGTTATGGTTTGTCAAGTGCCAGTAGTACACTGTTATCGCAGGTACGTTTCAAAAATATATATCTTGCATCTGAATATGTCTTTCACGATTGTTTACTTGGGAGAATTACAGTCGATCAAAACGAAGTTGAAAATTGAAACTGAAATTGTACCCGTAAAACGATTTTAGATTCACCTAATATAATTATTTTATTCTCCCTGGTTTTTAGACTACAGAACAATCGAGTGAAAGACTGATTTAATGCTTGTTATTAGTTATCTAGCAGACAATCTCTTTTGTTTTACCATCAAATGATTCAACAATACAGAACTGCACGTTACTATTAATTAATACACACACTATGATGTATTGTTTCAGTAGCGTTGTTATAGCTAATAATTATTAGAACATATGTTAGTAGTTGGAAATTTCAATACACTTTGTATATATTAGTTGTGTAGTTAAATGCTTCCCATAAACCAACAGAACAATTTTCGTTAGAATAAATAATTTTTCAAACAAATACTGCTAAGTAAGTAATATGCTCAAACGTGTTTAATTTGGTTTGTTGATATGAAGGTAGCTTATGTATGAATGTCGTGATTAATATAAAGCATATCATTGTTTTAGAGGCTGACTTTATTTCATATGCACCATAAATAATTTGATTACACAAGAATATTACAGAAAACGATAATTTGTTATTTTGCCTTTTATTTGTCTTGAATTATGACTGAAAGAACCTGAATGAAAATAAAAACTATCTATGTGCTCAACAACTCACGTATGAACAATAACTTTAATAAATGTGATTTTATTTGGTAGAATATTGTATCTTTCTGCATGAAAATGAAAGGATTTCACAATGTCAAAAACGAAAAGTTTATCTCAGCGTTCTGAGCTGTATTGCAGTCAGCATGACTTCACGAGCGTAATTTGTAAATATGTGAAATATGAATATGAAATTTTAGTAACCACTAATTCATTTACAATTTGTTTAACCTAAAGACGTTTGGAAGTGGAAATTATATACAAGTTGGTATTGTGTTGCAGCGTTCTATCTATGTTCTTCTTCTATCTGTTTTCCCATCTTGTGCCATACTCTACAATGCTGAAATAATATTGTTGTTTTGCAAGCAAGATCCAACAATTGCAAGGTGAGAACACATTGACAAATTGACACATTTTAAAGCCCACCATCAAACAATTACTATTTTATAGAAAGACACCCACACCAACATTCACACAAAAAACAAAAAAACACAACTTTAGTTATTTAAGTTTGAACTACTCTGACCAACTGTACAAAGCTAAATGGGAAAATGGCAAAGCTACATAATCATTCACAAATTACAGACACGCATGATAAAGTGACTTTTACATTTCATTCCTCATCTGCATTCTTGCAAATTTAAAAAAAGTTAAAAAATATACATTATTATTTCTTTTCCAGCCTAAGTATTTTTATACAACAACAAAGGATGTTTAAGTAAATCGAGTTGCATCTCATAGTACAATTTCGTCTAATAACAGAATATTGTTCATAGTATGCCTTGTTGTACATATACATACTCATTAGAACGTGGCGATGGTTTCGTTTTCATTCATTGATGTATGTTTTTTTCCTTTATTTCATATCTTTACTTTTTATAATGTTAAATACATATTTTGTGTCAACAACATCTTGAGTATTGCAAATTACAGTATGAGACTTTGCAAAGTTATGCATCATTGTTTAAGTAATAAACACTGTGTTCATCCCGTTTTAAAGGTTAGGTGGCGTATATTGCAAGATTTCATGCTTCTCACTTCCGGTAAGACACCCTCCTAAGTGATTATCTTGAATATATCTTGAATATAAGCTACTTTCTACTCGCCAACATGTGCATCCAGATAAGGTATGCATTCATATCCTTTATTTTACATTGTTATATAATAATATACACTAGTTTTCTACAATGTATTCAGAGTTTGTTCATTAGCTTTACGTTGGTGGCATACCTACAAAGCCAGAGTATTATCAAGCCGATAGTCATTACTCACGTTGCTGCAGCAGTCTGTCAAGCTGTCACAAGCTACTTTCTGGTATTGCAATTTTCGCTTGGTTTTAGGTAAGTTTAGTTTTCATTTAGAAGCGAGTACATACTGCACCCGGTCATTATATCAGTTAAAATGGTTGTCTATCTCTATCGACGCTGATAATACATAATTTACGTACATTGTCTGGTTATTTTTTTGTTTAGTGGGGCTGTTTGGTCACAGGTTGTAACCTATTGGTTTTTGGCTGGTGTGCTTGTCATCTATATAAAAGTAGCATCTATACAAGAACAAACGTGGGGAGGTAAGTTGTTATACTATTTCGTAATATAAAGCTTTATTGTCGAATTCTTTACATTATATACATGCTATCCCTGCACCGTGACGTCTATTTTTAATCCATATATGAGGTGTACACACACATAAATGAAAAATCTTCCAGGCAGAAAAATATACTATGTTGTTGTAGGATTAACTATTTCGTATACAACATGCTATATGTGCACATGGCGCCCTCCTGTGATGAACTATCAGTATTCTTTGGTATGAACTCATTATCTGATCGCCACCTTGAATAATTCACGTCGTGGGGAAGGGCAATACAAAGAATTTGCCTAATTGGGACGTGTCCCTGAAATGGGTCTCGTTTTTTTGGATTTTAGATATAATTATCGGTCTTATTTCTGGTCAAGATAGGTATAAATATTGGTAATATTTTTCCGATTTGGTATACTATTTTCAAAATTCATATTTTAATAAATCAATACACAATGCAACTGTTCGCTTACATGTGCATCTATTGAAGATGCTCTTCTAATAGAGCAAATACGATAACTGTTTTATTTGGAAGAACAGTGATGGCAGAAATGGTACTTTGGTATAAATATGGGTATAGCTTTTGCCACGATAATTTCAATATGGCTGCATTTCAATTTTTTTGTCAAAAACATTGATATGTTTTACTCTGAGTTGCATTGTAAATAAACTATATCGGTTGACAGGCGCTATCTATGTTGGGGAGAATGGAATTGTCGGATACCACTGCTTGATATTGTCTCGATTGGTGCTCAGATTAATAGTATTGTCATTAGCAGGTCTCGGAACATTGTGCAGAACGTCATATCCAAGCTGTGCGTTCTGCCATGTCAGCCATGAATCTACCTAACAAACATTCTCTCACAATAGTCCTGATATACTGATTAGCTGTATTGAAAGTAGCTGGTGAATTAAATTATAGAATCATAGAAAAACATCTCTTCCACCAATTCAATCAGTTAGTGCCTCAGTATGCATTCGTCTTGTGAATTATGATTAATTGCATGAAGTTGACTGGGATCTAATGGCTTCAGGTCTCAACATCAATTTTTTTTTTCACATGGCTAAAAGTACAGGATATAAAAAGAACATTGTTATGAACATCTGAATAAATATTTGACCTTTCATCCAACATTACCCTGCTTTTTATTAGAAAAACTACATTACTCATTAATATTTAAGGGACATTAACAAGGAATATGCCAATCCCCATATTGAGTTACACAATCTACACATCCTGGTTATTTTCCTGAATTAAAACAATTCCTGCACATTCCGTTACTATGATGCACAATTTCAAATAAAAAACAAATGCTCATATTACTACATACCTCAAATCGGAATAAATTATTAAAAAATGTCAAGTTTTTGTTGGAGCCATATTCCAGGTATTCGTTAATGAAGTTGGTTCAAATCTGTTACTGAAATGTTTATACATGTCGAGATGCTCAACACGTACAATATACAGATATATACACATGCACATAGATATAACATGCGAGTTATACAATAATGAACCATTCCAAATTTATCTTTGTGTTGTTATTAAACAGGTTGGACAGTAGAAGGTCTATACGATTGGAACGAAATTGTACATTTGGGGATCCCAGGCATAATATTTACGATTATGGAATGGAGTTGTTTTGATATTCCATCTTTGGTAGCAGGTATCCATTTGATTAGTTCAAGTTCGCGAAATATTAGAACATGGAATACAATGTATTTTGGAAATCGTCAGCAATATAATACGTGCATGATAATATAATATGTATCGATCGAAGTGAGTAATCATTGATATCATTCTGAACCACTCATATGCACATTTAACTTCATTGTGTTTCATTTAAAATTCTCACTTTATATTTTGTTCTAAAACATGCAGGCTTGCTAGGTGACGATCAACTTGCAGTCTATTCCATAATATGGCAAGTGCTAAACATTTCAATTATGGTAAGTTGAATATAAAAATGTAACGCTTGCCGAGAAAACGGAGCAAAGGTAAAAAGCTCAGTGTTATTTCTATACAATCGGGTTGTTCAAGTGTACATATAACATTTAAATGTTTCATCCCAGAAGGAAAATGCTACAAGTTAGATCTGAATAATACATGCTTCTTCAGCGTAAAGTTCACCAGAGTACGCATTCGCAAAATACATTTTCTCTATATATGGCGTGCATTGGTAAATCTATACATTGTGGATGAATACATCCAATCCAAAACATGCAATGAATGGGATATGGAATTATATAAATTATACGCTTAATAAACCAACACATATATTTATCCCATCAACAAATCTGTCTTGTCTACAAAGGATTTTAAATGTTACTTCATGTTATTGTTTTTGTTCACTCTGTTATTATTAAGGTTACTAGCAAAGCCTGTAACCTTTATGTTATTGTTCTTTTTCTACACAGAAATGTTCAGTCATTCTAAAATAAACAAACAGATAATCAATCAACTTGTGAAAATGTGCAGTGAAAAATCTTTCAATTTTTGTCGGCCATCATTCCCAAGCACTTAAAATAATATATATATATATATTAAGGGAAACCTCAAAATAGTCTATTTTGTAATTATTTTCGCTATTCTATTTTATTTTGAACATCCCCCAGTCCTACTCACAAAATCACTCAATACTCAACTTTCATAACTTCGTGTCTTGGTGTTGGAATATCACCGTGTGTATTGTGAATTCATATAATAAATATTAGTATTCGCCCCACAATATCGAAGAAACGTTATTAAATGATATTTTGTAACATACAACAAAATGGTCGTTAATTGAACCCATTCTACGACATATTGTGAAACCGCGGGAAACTAAATTTTAGTACTCACATTTTATGTTTGCAAATGTAACATGTCTGTTTTTGCTATCATAGCCTTGTTTCAGCATGGCTCGAATTGTCATTGTACGTGTTGGAAATTTCCTGGGAAAGTACGAACCTTCCCACGCACGAATCGCTGGACGTGTAGCTTTATTGATCAACGGTAAGTGCGTACCTTGTTTTGTCATTTAATTTCGTGAAAACTGTGACGGTTTCAGACTAGTTTCTTGCGGAAGTGAGCACGAGTTGCTTTAACGTTGTGTACAATACATTACTGCGTAGCCTCCCGCGTGACAATAAATAAATTTTATATCATCAAATATTGAAACTGACAAAATAATAAATGGAGTACACAAACATATCACAACAAGGATACATATGAGAAGTTTGTGATTGATTCGTTTACTGCTAACATTTTTTTACTAATCACGATATTTCTTTCTTTTGTTTTTGCAGTGATTTCCACCATCATCATTGTGATTATTGTAGTGTGTATGCGCAACATTTTACCACTGCTTTTCACTAGTGACAAGTGAGTTGAAATTTGAACTTGATGAACCATTTAGATGTTCTCATGGCGTGGCCAACCAGAATGTTTTTTTTTTAATAATGGCGTCCAGCGATGACATTGCATGTAAACATTGACTTTGCTGTCTTTATTGACGTTTCAACAACTGCATGGTAGACAAAATTACATATATAGTGAGATATATATTTGTTAATAAAATGTTCGAATAAAAATTCATTGATGTTTTAAGTATAAGACCAAGTCGTGTGAAAACAAGTGAATGTATTGCAGCCATTTTGTAGATGTACTGTCAGTGGATGGCCGAAAAATGTTACTAGAAAGTAATGTTTTGGTAAAAATAGCCTATTGTTCCGAAATGTAATAAAATTGTGTTAAACAAAATATTGCCAAAACACTGAATTCTCATATGAAACCAGTATTTATTTTTACATTTTTTGATTAAATGTTTTTTTGAATCGACGCGTATTCTATATTAACCACGCTCTGGGTACTATATAATTAATCGAGCAGTAATTGACAATTAATCACATTTCCGTGGTTTTAAAGTAATGCGATGTGTGTCAAAATTGACTGATTATGAAATATCAAATATGAAAGTACTCCAAGTAATGTTTTTTTAAAAAAGTCTCCAGTAGTTAATGGGAATAACTTACGAACTTAAGAATGGCTCGATGACAGAATCGGGAAACTTCGATATCAAATTATGGGAAATATAATGTCAATTCTGAAACTTGAATTAAAACTTAAAAAAAATATACAAATAATATACATGTTTTATTTTATTTTGGTGGGTATTGATTAATTATTTTTGTTTTATTCCACCCACATTAGACGCTACTCACGTCCTTTGTCATATAAATAAAACATGGCGTTTTAAAGAGACATGTACATAAACATAATCAGATGTAAGTCGGTATTATGGTGGGCAGTGTTACCAACTAACATTTAGCTATATTGATGTAACACGATGTTGTATTGTTACTGAACGGCTGTATATGTATTGATTGCGAGTGTACATGTACGTGTTATTATCAAAGCAGGTTATCAAAGCAGCATGTAGCGGTCAAAACAATAGAGACTCGAACGCGTCTTTTATTAATCAATGTACAGAAATAACATTGAAACCGTTAATTAGTTCAAGTTTTTGTTAATGTTTCCTTTCACAACATGTTCCAACTTATCGTGTAAAAAGTAATATCTGTTGCCAATTACAAATTTATATGCCAACATTAAAGTGCTCAAGTTGTCATGTAGAACGATTTGCATATCGCGTAAACTATATACATTACATTACATTACATTACATTTGCTGTATGTACATTTCATGGGACACATTTTGATACTACGTATTTCTTTTTATTGCCATAGATATATTGTTCAGTTGACGTCATCAACCTTACCAGTTTTAGTATTGCTTATTCCCTACAGCAACGCAGTAAGTATTTATATATGAAATTACCGTCGCTGATTCTGATATAATGTTTCTCTCGGCATGTATGAATCGATAAATGTGGGTGTATAAAAATAAAATGGCTTTCTATAGCAGGATATATACACCTCTCATATAAACAATTATTTAATATTGAATGAGTGTTCAGCGCACAACTGTCTCAAATATCCGTCTTATACCAGATTACCCAAGCTGCTATTTTACAAGGAATCGGACATCAACGGACAGTAGCAATTTACAGTTTTATAGTATACTATCTTATTGGTTTACCGATTGGTTTTTTCTTAATATTCGTCGTTAAAACTGGAATGGTTGGTAAGTCTTCCGAATTAATTACATTTCTTTTAATATCGTTAATTTATCGACACTGTTAAATCTGCCAGGAATAATGATATATTTGTAACTGTTCGTGACATGCATATCATGGCAGTTCCATGTGACATATATTGTTAACACATATACACAATTAATGAGTCATGTTGAATACTGACTTCAAACGCTGCTCCATTCATAGCCAGCTGTACTTCACATGGTATCTAGCGATCACATATATTAGAGTTGCTATGTTTTGATCGGACCCTTCCCCTTTTATTCTCTGTCTCGGGGTGTTTGGCAACCTTCCCATGATGTATCCATAATGCAACGCATGCGATAATTTAAAGAGCCACCCTGGTGCCAGAGAGCTGTATTTTATCGCGTGATTGGCGGATAACCTAATATCTCATTTTGACAATGCACTTTCATTACCTGGTAAAACAAGTTGACCACTTGACGTGTGTGGCTTCACGAATTTAACGAAACAAATAGCGATAATATACAATATACTTATACTATATACAAATAGCGACTGTAAATTGTTTAAGAACTAAAATATTATTAATCAATCAGATATTGTGAGGGCCCTCGTGATATATGATATATGCAAGAAAGTAGTTTACCACGTCATAATCAACATGTTCATATTTTGTAGGCTACTGGATTGGTATATTTTTAGCCTCAGTGTGTCAGAGTCTCTTCTATGATATTGCAATCACGAGGATCGATTGGGTACAAGAGGCAGAAAAGGTGATTTCCAATTATAATTTAGGTTGTAGTTGTGACATTACAAGTTGCATTCATAAAATAAAATAAAAGTTAATATATTCTATTTTGGTAAAATTTCCCACGAGATAATAACCTGAGTAATACATCTTTCTTTCTTTGCCAGGCTCACATGCGTGCTTACATCAATATACAGGGCAAGTATACTACATCTTTAAACACCTCCGATGACGATTTTGCGGAAGATTATATAATAGAAAACCTTAATTCAAAGAGCAACTATCATTATGATGCCACATACGATGGTCAGAATGAGAGTACTTCACTCTGTATGAAAGAGAATGGCTCAACAAAATCATTTTCTACAAATGAACGACCAGTTATCAAATCAATAATAATGAAACGAATTGCAGTCCTTGTTTGTATGATTATTGTTCTTATAGTCGGTGTCTTGATTGAAAGTTCGATGACGTCAAGAGTAAGGGAATTTATGAAGGAGGAACTTAATGTGGATTTCAATGCTACATCTATAGAGTGACAGTGTATTCAGACATGTAAACGTATATAGAGCCTCGAGAAGTTTAATCCATGATAACCACCAAGTGTTTTAGAATATGAAGTGTGACCCATAAAATTTAAATTGAGTTATATTACAACACTACTGTTTTGAAATAAAACATTAAAGTATAAATAAATGTGTGCGCACTTAGAAAAACACTTCAAGTGTATATTTTTTTGTTTACATATAACACATTACGTAGTATTTTTACCCCGGGGATTTCACATGCATTGAAAGATGTAAAGGCATGAGGAATAGTGTCTTAACTGGTTTTAATGGGGCGTTTACTATAATAACGCTTTGAAAAGTGATTTCACACATTTTTGAAAAGTACTTTCACGCAAAACACAACCTGAATATTTAGAGGGCTTTTACCAGGGACACAAAAAATATTAATGCACTTGCGTGTGGCACACAAGCATTTCTCCATTTTGGAAGGTTTCGCAATCTAGCACTTTGCAATACTGCACAATAATGATAACATGCAATAAAGAAATTACATTCGTAAATATTTAGTACTTTAAACAATAATAAGGTAAGTTTGTGTAAAACGTTTAAAAAAAGACATGTATAATTATGTCATTGACTTATGTTGCACCTGAATAAATGTGTTTACTGAAATTAGAAGATTTCCTGAACTGTGGAACAATATCAATATTGTGAACATGAACACATTAAAACCTATGAGTAATACACCTAAAATACACCATCCCTCAGCACTTTGCCTGATTGCGCTATCACAAAGCACATCATATTCCTGGGGAAAAGAAAAATAGTGAAACAAATAAAAAAAATCATTAGTTTCAGAGAAACTTCCTTCTTCACTGGAAATAAATTTATCATATTTCAATCCCATTGTCATCTATTCATCAAATTTGTGCATCTATTCATTTTTCTATTTTTCCCATTTTTAAAATAACCCCATAACACGGCTCAGTGTGATATTTTACAAGTATATTTATCTATCGTGGCATAGGAGAAAAGGCGAAAATCAGCAATAATCCATATTAACATGACAAATATACTGGCCAAATCATCTCATTCGCTCTAGCAAAACCTGCTATTTTCTCTCCAAGCTGAAAAATATATTATTATCAATAGTAGTCATTGCAACCAATGCAATATTAAAATCAAAGATATGTGATGTAAAATATTATTATAATGGAAGTTCATGCCAGGTGGAAACAAAAATATGACCACCCATCAGTAACACAAATCTAAGTCCATTTTCTGGGTAAATTCTGGTTACTATAATTTTATTTTGTAACTCATATAAAGTCTCTAAAAGAGTGTGATAAGAATCCTTTTGTACTGATAATGCATTTATTTGAGTTAAATAATTTATACTACGAATATGGGACACACTTGTACTATTGATGCAGGAATTTAAGACGTTATTCTGCGCATATACAGACAACGAATATTTCCTTACAAACCCTTAGTCGGGGAAATTGTCTGCACGTATTGAATAATGTATGAGAATACTTTTTCAGGACTCCCGAATCTACTATTCCTCACCAAAAAGTAAGCTGTTAACAACCATTTACACGGTTGTGGCAATATTTAGATAAGCTTGCGATAGGTAGATGTGATGCTTGAATACATCTTGTTCGTCTTTCCATATTATTTGAAACCATATGTTTATTCAAAATCAGGCAATTATAAGAGAGAACAGATATTCTTGGGTGACCGGTACATCAGTGACACATACATTAGTTTCTCATGCTAAATCAATATAACCTAATATATGTCAAAATAAATGGAGCATTCGAATTACAAAACACATTCACCATTTTAAAATTTCGTTCAAGAAAACTAAATTTAGCGCATAAATTCGTTTCATACTGCACCAGGTACCATTGAACTCGCCCCCATTAAAAGCGTGCTCCAATGTATTAGGAACCAATTGTGGTCACTGGGGCTGAACAATTTCAGAGGTTTGTTCTTCCATTGCTAGATAGCAAATTCATCTGGCATCAGTCACCATGTCAGACCCTACTCTGATAGATTCAAAAATACAACAGTTTCAACAAGGGATTATTGATGTAGAACAATTTTACAGAATTGTATTTGGCCGGCCAGTGCGATATTCATTAAAATATAGATTCACATATACTGTTCCAATCAGTGACGTTTTTGTCTTGTATTGCAGTATTATATTGCAATCCGAACTTTTGAGGATGCTGTGGACAACACAGACTAATTGAGACATGTTAAATAGATCTCCCCCAAAAATGAGAGGAATATTTTAGTCGCAACCGTTAACACTAACATTCAATTCTAAAATTTGGTGCAACGTTATTTACAGATCGGCACGCCAATCAGGGAAATTACATTTAGCCAAGCAATTACACTTGCACAATAGAGAAATAACGCATGGCATTGGACATGTTTTTACTTTCTTGAGCTGTTGGTCGAACAAACAAACCTAGTGAAAATGAATTCATGGCATTGTCGATATGTTATGCTATATGCTAACCTCTTTAAAATATACCGAAAGCGTTCTTTGTGCCCCCATCCCGAACTCCTAACTCTACCCCTACCCTCCAGCTCTTCCAAAATGAATTGTATATGTCCCTCTTAAGGACCCTTATCTAGAAGGGCATATACAAGTGAATTGGTGGGGGGTGGCTTTGGTCAGAGTTAGAATTAGGGGTATGGGTACAACTTCTTCTAAAAAGCCTTTCAATTCATTTTGTAATAGTAAATTATAGTCAATAAAAGCAACACAATATCTACAAGTTTTGTTAAGATGGCTTCCGGCGTACCATGTGCCCTCGGACACTTCAATAATATTTCGGTTGCTGTTTCTTCACTCACCTATATTTTAGCTCACATGTGCAATTGTTTATAGCTATATCAATTGTGTCATAGAAGGCTCGTGCGCAGGTCACTTTTACATACGTAGTGGAAACAACATCAGTTTACTTGTTTTCACTACATTACAAAAACGCTATTTCATTGTTCAAACACTAGTATATTGTATATTTTAGTTATAACTTAGAGGAGCGCATTCAGGTTATACGTAAATAATTTACAAAGGTGCCGATTGAATCAGCATATTATCTAACATCCTAAACTATTTCCTGATCGTCTAGTTACGTTAATGGCATATATATCATAATGTTTACTCACTCGTTCCAGGTTCAAATCACAGACTATAGTTTAATTTCTATTTACTCAATTGTGTTAGTACTGTTGGCTTCATCACATTGGTTGCATTAGTCTAAAAATGTTCTATCTATAAACACTTTAATGACACATTTTTGTCGCCGTGAAACACTCAGTGTTTGATGTGAAAAATTGTATTTTAAAGTGTTTAATATGTGCCTAATTTTCATCCAAAAATGTTTTAATAATTCCGAAAAACACTTGCCTATAAATCACGTCTGTTGGTATTTGAAAGAATAAGCTTATTCATAATTTACAGGTGTGTGTATATTTAGAAATGACATGCTCATTTCTATAATTATTTCTGGATGAATTAAACTGTCCGTATTTAATTTGTTGTACACACGGGCATAGTCCTCATTATAAGTACGTTCTCCATATCTCAGTCTTAATACTATACACTCAGGAAATGCTCGGTATTTTGGAAAACGTCATTAAACACAGCTCAGGTATGTGTACAGTTATTTGATGACACTTTATGTATGTATTAATGAATACCAATAGACATGGTAGAAGAGGTTCGCTGTTGTAGCCGTCTGAGTAGCGTTAGTATATCTCATATGAGGACTATACTGGTAGAATATTACATGAGGTCTTTCAAAATATCACGCTGTTTTTTAATTTGTTCTGTGGTTCTTTACTTCTTCCAAT